TATATATATATATATATATATATATATATATATATATATATAAAATGAAATATTAATTTCTTGCGATAAATATTACCACATTATCCTTAGTAGTCGAATGGATTCGCACGTTAAGCGAGCAATCCAGATTCGATTCCTGGCTGGGGTAATATTTTTCGCAATAAAAATAATTTCCAATAATCGGGGATTAATCGATTTCAAATTTGATTATCGATTTAATAGGGAAAGGGTAAAATTTAGAATTAGCTTTGAGTAGACTACGTAAGATCGTTGAATTAACGACACGTAGTTCACAATAAGCATTGTCTTGAAATTTAGAAAAGTAAAAAATTGTTCGGCACGAAGATCCACTCTGCCGATGAAAGTCTCTATTGTCTATTTGTTGATATATATTTCTATTTTCACAGTTCTTAAATTGATATCAGATGAAGTTTAATAATTTATTAAAATAAAAGAAATAAATAAAATCAAATATCTTAGTCTGCGTTACTTGGCAATAGCCACGTTCAGCAAAACATTTATTTTACAACTATTGAATGTTTTTTACTCAAAGAATGGATTATACTTTTAAGAGAGGAATAACCCAATTTCAGAGCAGATAATATTCAACAATTGCAAAATAAACGTTGAACGTAACCAGTAAGCAATTTCAGTTTTGCATTTATTTGCGTAAAATTTTAATAATCAGTCTCAAAAAGGTGCGATATAACTATTTCATACAGTTCTTTATATTCTTGTATTCTTCAATACTTTGTTTAAAATATTCTAATTTATAAAGAAAAGTGCGAGAGGTGGCTGTTGGTCTTGAAATGATCCAATAAAATTACACATAAAAAAATTTTAAATAATTTAATTATTTTAATTATTTTATTGCTTTAAATAAATTTATTTTAGCTATTAAAAATAAGTTAAACCTGTCACATCGAATTAAAAAATTATTAATTTCTGTCCAAGTATTATGTGTGTTTTTTACATGATATCAGTTATTTTTTTACATGATATCAGTTATTTTTTTACATGATATCAGTAGATATCAGTGCGTTTCAGAGGGGCGTCTTCATTAATAAGATTAAATAATGTACAAGGCAATAAATACTAAAAAAAATGAGGAAACAGATATTCACGGTCAATGCATTGACGCAGTAACCATTCCGGTTTTCCATCGAGCTATTTAAGTAGAAGGGAGAATAAAAGACTCTCTATAAGAAGCCTTGGTAAGTTAGCATACGACTAGTCGTGCATCGTCCAGCTTAACGAATCAGTGTATGCCAATAAAATCTTTCCTGTTTCACTATCAAAAGAAACTGGTTAACCTTCGGAAATCGTATATGTTAAAGAAGTAAGAAAGAAACAAAATATCAAATTTGAAGAATTCAGGCATTAGAAAAAGATAAGGAAACTAATTATTACTAAGATAAGGAAACTAATTAATTCAAGAACGACGTTACAATAGACATGAGAAAATATCTTATATCTGCGAGATTGATTCTCTCTATTATATTTCTCGCAATCATTTGTGAGAATTATGCTTATCGACCTCCAGAAGCTACAGTGCAGCCACTCCATCCTATGGGACTGCGCGTTTCCATTCCTGGTGAGATAATACAATTTGTATTACTAAACAAATAAATAATATATTATAATTAAAAGAATTTCTTCTAATCATAACACTTTTTTATAAAGATGAGCATGGAATTACATTGGTCGCTTTCCATATAAAATTCAACGAAGATTTTGATGGCTTGGAAGCAGGACATATCGCAAAAGATATTATCAAAATTCGGAATGGACGATGGACTTATGAAGATCGGCGCACCCAGTTAAAAAGGGACGACATTATCTATTATTGGGTTCATGTTGTGTACGAGGGATTGGGTTACAATTTAATTGATCAATCATATCGTGTTACCGGTAAGATCTATATAAATATTAATTAAAATTAAAGTAATCATCAGTTTCTTTTATTATTCTTGTTTTATATATATTTAAAACAAACTACTTAAAAATGAACTATGCAATTTTATTATCTATTTAATTCAATTTATCCTGTAAAGATAATTTTTATATTAGAAGAATTACAAAGCAATTTTTTTAATTGTTATAATTTTGTTTTATTTTAGATTTTTATAATTACGATGGCAGCCTACACGTCGCTGATACAGCTTCAAATACACAGAGTTGTACGACTACATCGGTCACATGGATTTTCAAGAACGGTGGACGACGACAAGCTTGTCCGCGTCAACTCATCTTTGAAGACAACTTTGACAATCTTAATAGTACAAAATGGAATTTATTGAAACAGTTCGCTGGTATGCCGGTATGTGTCGCTAAGAAGTGATTATAGTTATTTAAAATCAATATAAAAACCAGTTTTTGTTAATATGTTATTTTTATCTAGGATTATGAATTTGTCGTCTACATGACCGATAATGTAACGGATATTAGCGATGGACGGCTTCGTATTAAGCCGGTATTGCTTGAAAGTAAATATAGCAGGGAGTTTGTGTTGCGTGAAAAATTAACTTTGGACGAGTAAGTGAATATATAAAATTAAAAAATTATATATTAAAAATATTAAAATGTTAATTAATGTAATAAATCGAGATAAGAATAGGAATACAACCGAGGAAAGAATAGGATAACAGATAGCATTATTCAGTAGATAGGATTTTAGATGTCTAATAATTTTTCTTAACTATATAAGCAATTATCGAATGAATTTATCGATATAAATTCAGAAAGAAACATTGGACAAGATCCTGTCCGAGTAATGCTATCTATCTTATCTTATTCATTAAAATTAAATTTATTTAGGTACTTTGTATTTTTTAGTTGCACAGGCAATATTGGTTCACATGATTGTCTACGCCAAGGTTTTGGCGCATCTATTTTGCCCCCTGTTATCTCCGGACGTATTAACACAAAGGAAAAATTCGAATTTCTCTTTGGACGTATCGAAGTAAGAGCTAAGTTACCACATGGTGACTGGGTATATCCTGGTAAGTTTATTACAACTTTGTAATAAATTGATTTCATCTATATCTGTAAATGTTTGCCTTGTAGTAATTACTCTGGAAAGCCGCGAAAAAACATGGGATAGAGGATTGCATAACGAAATTAGAATTGCATCTTCGGTGGGCAACGAAGAACTGAGAACTCCCGATGGTGAGGTCGTCAGCGGCCGTGTATTAATCGCAGGCGGTCTGGTCGTAACTGTTAATGGAAGTGACATATATAATAATAATCGCGAGACATTGCCCAAAAGAAATTCGGGTAAACCTTGGTCGGATGATTTTCATATCTTCGAGATCGAGTGGAAGAGCAGTCGCATTGTGACGAAAGTTGACGGAGTACAATATGGCGAGCAAACCATAGATGTATCGTTTGCCAAACCGGTAAATATTTTAAAATTATATTATTATATTTGTCTTCGGTAATAGAGATTTGTTCTCTACTTGTATACTTTTATTAAATCTCATAACGATGAGATAAAAATCTTAATGACGTTGCTTATCGTGCAGTCCTATTTAACTTTGGGAGTAGCTGTTGGAGGCATTCACGAGTTTCAGGATCATGTTACAAGCAGCGGTTATGTTAAGCCTTGGCGAAATGTACAGGCGAAGGTATATTATTGAATATTTAAAATCAAACTTCTTAAAATTTAAGAAATCTTTGAAATTAATACAATCAACGTAATTAAATATTAATTAAATTATTCTTCATAGGCAATGTACAATTTTTACCAAGCGAAGGATCAATGGTATCCCACGTGGGATACAAAAACAGCACTTCAAGTGGATTATGTGAAAGTGTGGGCACTATAAATATTTTTGTCTCCACATGAAACATTATTCTTACGATTACATATAATCTCAGATACATTATTCTATACATTTTCTTATAAAATAATTCATTTTCAACAAAATACGTTCATTTACGATTTCATTTATTTCATATATACACACACACACACACACACACACACACAGAGTCTCTGGCATCAGTCATATCACCTCTCGTGTGCAAGTAGAGCTGGTAAAACTGAAGTAAAAAAGTTTTCTATCATTTTGCAATTTTCGCGATAATTATCGAGTTATTAATTATTAAAAATCACCGTATTAGTCCGGCCCACCGGCAAATGCAAGCGCGCGAAAATTGCAAAAATAATAGAAGTAATTTTTTATCAGTTTTACCAGCTCTACCTACATATGAAGTGATATGCCGACACCCTGTGTGTGTGTGTGTGTGTGTGTGTGTGTGTGTGTGTGTGTGTTGTTGTGTGTGTGTGTGTGTGTGTGTGTGTGTGTGTGTGTGTGTGTGTAATTTTACAAAATAAATAGTAATACAAATTATCTTAGATTACTTTTTATTTTTATAATTCTACTAAAACTATTTTATTACTAGCTTAAGTTAACGTAATGCACAGTTTCGTTTCACATCGATTATATTTGAGTGCATTTGTTGCGGACTAGGAGAAATTACTATCACCTTTGAAGGGAATTGGAGGTGGCATCAAAAACGTATTAGGCATAGGTTGTCTATTCAATCGAATATCAAGACCATTTCCCAATTGTTTAATGAGCCACTCTCCTCGATATCCAAAACGCTGTTGATAATTTTTAGCAGCGCGCGGCCCATCCTCGGGTTTGAACTCGATGTGTATGGGTTCTTTCTTCATACTTATGAATAGCGCGAGACGTAGCAGATTCGCAAAACCGTTCTTGGTCCACTCTTGAAGCTGCGATTGATTAGGAAGTTTTGGAAAGATTGAGAAATCAAGTCGATTTCTAAATAACATTTGCGGCCACGCAAAGAACGATGAATCAAATGTCCTGGCATTCCGCATCAATGTTTGATCGCTACACCATGCGCTTGTCTGCCCAACATAACAATCGTATTTTCATTTTTATTAATAGAATATTTAATTGATCAAATTAATTCCATTACTAGCTTACTAATTAACTAATTAACATTTTGATTGCAGGATTATTTAATAAGAAATGTGAGTAAAAATATATTTGTAGGAGGAAATTAAAATTCTTCGTATTAAGCCAGAGAAGCAAATGAACTCGTTTCTTATGTAGAGTCTGTTCTTTTTAGCTGAAGCTCTTTAGGCTGCATTAGTTCAGAGTTTATCTTTCTCCTTCCAGTGTAAGAAAGAAAGATAAATTGTGAACTAGTACAAAGTCAGCTAAAAAACAGGCAGGCCTGTAAATTACTTACCGTCCAAACGACAGTTATTAAAAGCACTTTATCGACACACATAGCTCATTGAAGTTACAAAAGCACTTACGGGAAAGTAATGAACAACTGATTCCATTCGAATCTCATCTGGCTTTTATTTCCTCCTACCCCTCGTACATCGTAGAAAATTCGTGTTTCGAATGAGATATCGATTCATGAATAATCAATTGTTATTCGCAGGATGATCTAACGCAACTTTTTAAACTCTCGCGCGTCGTTAAGCGATCGAGTTTTTACTTTCACTGCCGGTATTACGATAGATTGCGTACATTCCCACATATAAACACACCGGATTTCTGTATAAGTTTCATAGTTACATTTCGCGTCGATAGCGATACCATTCCTGGGACGAATCGAACTATGTATTGGAGTCGAGTATGGGTATGTTTATTTCATGAAAAATTCAAAAAAGTTGAATTTTCAATAAAATAAGAGCTTCAAAGCTATTGATAAGTGATAAAAGAAATATATCACGAAAAATAATTTAATTTAATGTTGTTGTATATTGTTAATATAGTAATAGTAATAACAATAATAATCATGTAATAATATGAATAATTTATTTGAAAATCTCTCTTTCTTTATGCATTCTATTATAGATTACCGCGTTGGTAGCATTATTACTTCACAGTGAAACTAATGTGTCAATCACAAATGCTACAATCTATAGATTTGTACACGATTTTATTCAATATAACATAGCAGGCTTACCTTCTACACATAAGGTAACTATGTGATATATGTGA